AAGCGGCATGGGATGTGTTTATATGAGGGTAAGGGCTAGTCCTCGAAGATCTTGCAACATCGAGCTTGCCGGTCAAATGTAGTACAGTAGGGGCGGTCTGGTTCTAGTCCAGCGTTTAGGGTTTGGAGGGGACACGCTTAGGACTCTACTTTAAACCCAAATCATAATTGCGAAATCACTCAACAAATTCGCATCTGCATCCGGACTTAGACGTGCAACCCAGCATGTAAATAAGCAGAGCTGCAATGCTCTGGGCGTGTATGTCCACCTGTCTGACCGGGATCTGCGAACAAAACATACAAGGCTTTTGCTACTGTCTAGAGTCTAGAGGGAAGCTGTCCCGAATACCTAAGGACTCAAATTCCAGATTTTTGGAAATTCAAAAACCTGCGAACTACCCCTTTCATTGCAGCTCTTGATTGCCTGGTTATCTCTTGGCGAAGAAGAACCTCGGACCCCTCCGAAGGGTAATTACTTGGGAGGTCCTGGTACCCTCAAGCCTAAACCCTGAACCCCCAAACCCTAAAGCCGAAACCCTGAAACTCCAAACCTCCAAACCCTAAACCCTAAACTAAAGCCGAAACCCACAAGCCTTAAAACTCTGAACCTCCAAAACCAAAACAACCCCGACTCAGCATGGCTCTGGGGGCTGCTTCTTGAGTCTGTAGGGTGACCTTTAATGGTAGGGTTCAGGGTTTAGGGTTTAGGCTACTCCAGCTCATGGTTGGGGTAGTATTAAAAATCTAAACTTATATTCCTTATTGGGTTTAAGTACCCTTAAAAATACCCAACTATGACAAAGTACTAGCGTTGCCCCGGTTTAGGGTCCTAGCCTCCAGAATGGATCCTGCATTATTGAAAACTCACCACTCCAGCCAGCCCCTTTGGGGCTTAGAGGCTGCAACACGAGGTTCCCCAGTGGCCCCTTAACAACAAGGTCTTTTTTTCCCTACTGTTCGGTTTTAATAGGGGGGGTCCGGAAAGAAAAGGGCAAAAGGGTTTAGGGTTTAGGGTTTAGGGTTTAGGGTTACTGTGGAACCTAGTGCAGGCAGGGACTGCTTGTGAAGCAGCTCTGCATCTATGCACTTCTTCTACAGACGCTTGGGCCTCATCTCAGTTCTGTCCGCTTTGGGGTTTAGGGTGCATACCTAAACTGCCTTAACCCTATAAGCCCTATACCCTGAACCCTAAACCTTAAACCCTATAAACCCTAAACCCTAATCCTCTTAAGCAGCTTTGGCCCCTGGGTTGCTGAGTACCCCATTGTACCACTTCAGGCCTACAAATGGAGAATCTCCGCAATCTAGGAGCCTTAATAAGTAGAATAGGGTTTTGGGGGTTCCTCATTATCCTTTTATCATGAGATACCCCTATTCTAAAGATCAAGGCCCCTATATTAAATATTATCTCATGTAGATTTGGTCTCGTGGCAACAGGCTTTATCACAACAAACCAATACTAAATGCTATGCCCGTTACTGCAGATCACCCACAACGTCCCGAGCCCGGAGAAAAAAACAGGAAAGAGTGCTAAACCCTAAACCCTAAACCCAAAACCTTAAACCGAGCTTCTTAGCAGCGTAGATCTCCCTTCATTCAGGGTTTCTGGAGGTCTCGGCTTAGGATTTAAACCCTAAACCCTAAAACCTAGAGTTTAGGTTGTACGGATCACGTAACAAGGAACCCCATGAAGATTTCAGGAAGATTGCGTATGTGAGGTCCATCTTGGAAGGCTCAAAGTGACAGCAGCGTCGGCGATCTGAGCGGCAATCTGGGCTCGCATCTCAGATAGCCCTCCACCTTGGCAACCGCGGTGGGTACAATTCGTGAGTGTCGTCACCAACTGTAGTTACCCTATAAACCCGAAGCCCGAAAAACACCACCAAGGTCAACAAGCACTTCGAGTCTCAGCACCACTGAAAAGGCCCCTCAATCATCCTTGAAACAACAATCCACCTCCTTTTTTCGACGCGTGATACTTCTGAAACCATCGAAGTTACATCTCAAGCAGCACCGACCGACAAATGCTGCCTATGCAAACCCTGCATTACCGAAATGTAGGGGCCTTAATGATTAGAATAGGGTTTCGGGTATATTGGACTATAACTATCATAAGGAACCTTCCAAAATAAAATAAATACGTAATTATGAAGGCTCCTATAATAGATTTTTGGCATGAGCTCCAGCGCCTGAGCATCCCAGTCGAAAGGGTCAGTGCCACCTGTCAAGAATCGCCGGAGCCGGTCTTTGGGGTACTAGTCTGCGACGTTTAGGGTTTAGGGTTCGGGGCACTACCGACTCTTCTTTGGGGTAATGCACCCTCCCAGAGAACCCAATACCCCTTAATTAAGGAATGTACCTTAAACTATAGGGGCCTTAATATTCTGATGTAAAGTATATTCCTTATTTAAGGGGTATCGAATTCTAACTGGGCTTAACATGTGGCAAAGGCTCGCGATCCCAGGGCTGGGATGCAACCGGGGCACAAAGCTGCCGGCTTCGAGGAATCGTCGCAGGATGCATCGGGTTTAGGGCTTAGGGCAGTATGCCCTAAACCCTAAACCCAAAACCCCGAAACCCCGAAACCCCAAAACCCCAAAACCCAAAACCCTAAGCCCCTAGACCCCTAAACCCCGAAACACCAAAACCCAAATCCCAACCTCCTAAGCCGAAGATCTTCTTTGGGCTGTCAGGGTTTCCGGCTCCGGGAGACCAGAGCTTAAAGCCGTTTCTGAACTGATCGGCACTGCACTGCTTCGAACTTCCGAATGGTTTAGGGTTTAGGGTTTAGGGTCTAGGGATAGGAATCCGGATCCAGCAAACCAAAGCCCCCGTAGGTTTAGGGTTTGGGGCTACTGTTTAATTAAAGTTTAATGGGGCTCAGCATTTGAGGTCAGCATTCCGGCAGGGTCTAGAAGCTCGTAGTGTAGATTGCAGTGAGCAGTTTTATGGGACGGCGTACTCTATTCAAAATCAGACAGAAATCAAGTGCTACAGCTCCATTCTGAAACTCTGCTCCTACTAATCTGAACACTTAGAGCTTCGTGGTGTAGTTCTCTCCACGTTCCCGAAACGACTGCAGTACCCAGAGAACCCAATACCCCTTAACTAAGGAACCTTAAATCATAATATTAAGGCCCCTATAGTTTAAGGTATATTTCTTAATTAAAGGGTATTGGGTATTGGGTTCTCTGGGTACAATGCGCTCCAAAGGTCTGGTCAGATCATTACTGAATGCTACCATGCACCCTGAACCCTAAGGGTCCAAGTACCTAATAATCATATACTCTCCCAAATAGTAACCTACATAACTACTATCCGACACTGAAGTGCCTGATTATTGGGTCCCTCTGAGTCGCTTGAGCCCTCATTGCTCTGACCCCGCCGCAAGGCGCTCGAAGGACCCAACTGCCTTAATCAAACGACTTACATCCTGACCCTAAACCCAAAACCCTAAAACCCAAAACCCAAAACCGGTTTAGGGTTTAGGGTTTAGGGTTTAGGGATCCTGTGGCAGGCCTAAAGAGTCCGGCACGACGATGCAGTCCACAAAGTCCTTAGCTTCAGCAGAGGCTGATGTCCCTTCTTCAAACACCCTAAATCCCCCCATACTAACCGGTTTAGGGTTTAGGGTTTAGGGTTTAGGGTTTAGGGTTTAGGGTTTTAACCTCATGACATGACCCCTATAAGCTAAGCAATGGGCTTACCAACATGATGTTCATCATGGGAGCTGGTGATGCCTACGGAACCGACTGCCAGCTTATCGAAGCCACTTCCGCATGTGAAAGCTGCACGAAAACTGAGATGCAACACCGGAACCCCAAAACCCAAAACCCGAAACCCTAAAACCCGAAACCCTAAAACCCTAAGTGTCCAGGGTGCGATGCTGGAAAATCCTTCACAAACTCATGACATGTATCATGTTTGTTGATAGGATCCTGAACCCTATAAACCCTACAGCCCTAAACCCTAAAACTCTAAACCCTAAACCCTGAACCCTAAGCCCTAAACCCGGAAACCGGGGAGACCCGAGTCACCGAGGGTCCTCCCGAATTCTCTGCAAATCCTTCGGCGCCACAAAGTCTATGCGATTCCTGACCTCCGGGAGTATTTCGGGTTTACGGTCTAGGGCTTCGGGTTTAGGGTTTAGGGTTCCTGACCTCCGGGAGTATGTTGACTCACTTGCACCCGCAGCAGCGTTTATGATTTATGATCTGTACATTCGCCCGCCGCCCCTCGCCCATTTTACGAAGCTCCAGGGTCGGATAAACAAGTTAACAGATGTTGTCGGTTTTGGGTTTAGGGTTGTGGGGTTTAGGGTTTAGGGCTTTGGGGTTTTGGGTTTACGGCGACTGTACGACCCGATATCAAGCGCGTGGCGAGCTCTGCGCCCCTCATACACACCCAACAACTTTTCCCAAGATCTCTGCAAAAGAGCCTTGATTAGAAGAATTGGGCTTGGGGGTATGTGAAGGAAAAACATATGTATCAGAATAAGCCCTATAAGGAATCGAATAGGAAATTATGCAGGCCCCTCTATTAAACAACAACTCTCAAACCCAACCCCGAAGCCCTAAGCGCCCAAACCCTATACCTCAAACTCAATCAAGCCCAAAACCACCGCCAAACCCTGAAACAGTAAAGAAGATCTGAGAACTCAAGCTTCCGAAAATAGAGGAGGGGTTCTACCTTGTATTGCGCATCTATAGTAAGGGTCGTTCCATCTAGAGCTCGAAATCGGCAGTTTTTCACGTTCCGAAACTCCACCGTCCACCGCCTAGTTTGCAGCAGCTCGGTTTCAGACGTTGGAGCTAGAGGGCCTCAGTACCCGAATAGGTCACGGTTTGGGCTTTAGGATTTCTTTCGAAGGTCCTAACCCTAAACCCTAAACCCTAAACCCTAAACCCTAAACCCTAAACCCTAAACCCTAGGCTCTCGGGAGATAGGAGCCTCAACCGATGGGAGAATAAGAGGATTAGCTGCGCAAATTGAAACGAAACTCGAGCACTACTTGGGGGTTCCCGAAAATTGGGGGTACCTTATTTTGGGGTCCTTATAATAAGGATCCTACTATGTAGGGTGCTATATTAGGGTCCCCCTATTTTCGGAAATCCCCACTTGGCAATTTGCAACATTATTTCTTTGTGCCAGGATGCGATGCTTCTGGTACTATGGTACATCCCAGCGCCGAAAGCTCTAGAATTTCTAGAAGCAAAAGCCTGCGCCCGTCCCATTATAACGCTGAATCAGGGAGTAGATCGGAGTCAACCTACCTTGAGCTACCAAAACCTATTGTCCCCTGTAAACTCTAGCAGACTCAGACTCAAGCTTATAACAAGAGACTACAACAAGGTAGGTTATGGTTATGACCCTAAAACCCTAAACCCCAAACCCTAAAACCCTAAACCCTAAAACCCTAAACCCCAAACCCTAAAACCATAAACCCTAAACCCTAAAACCCTAAAAGCCTGAACCCTAAACCCTAAATTGGGCCCCTTGAACTGCAACAAAACGGGGGCCCCAAGACCCGGCCGCCTTGCCTTGGGGGTCAAAAACTTCTTCACCAGGCCGGTGAGAGCCCTGTAAGGGATGGAGTTTGTGTTGTTGTTTTTAAGTTGGGGGTTTCGGGTTTACGATTTAGGGTTGAGTGGTTTAGGGGTTTAGGGTTTAGGATGAACTTTTTTTTAAGTTGCGGTTTCGGATTTGTGGTTTAGGTCGGTTGGTTGGTTTAGGGTTTAGGGTTTAGGGTTTAGGGTTTAGGGGTTTAGGGGTTTAGGGGTTAGGGTTTAGGTTTTAGGGTTTAGGGTTTAGGGTTGAGGGTTTAGGGTTTTCGGTTCAAAACACGGAGCTTCTCGTGGTTCGGGGTTCTCTGTTTAGTGGTGGCCCGAATAGCCAAGGATCCTTCGATTGAGGGTCCAGCAATTAGGGTCCCACTGTTTCTGCAACTCCCAGATTTGTCTTTGACTTAGGGTTTACGGTTTAGGGTTCTTGGTCTAGGGTTTACGGTTTAGGGGTTTAGGGACTGCTTTTGGTTTGGCATGGCGGCGCCCACTTTGATGTCTTCTGCGAGCTTTATCAAAGAACACGCCGGTCTGCAAGAAATCTGTCTTCGACTTATTGGCTGCAAAAGCCCTACGTACACCCTCAGCCCAAAAGCCCGAACCCCCTAAACCCTAAACCCCAAACCCGGGCGTGCTGCCCTCTCTGACCGTTACACTGGAGGGCAGACAGCTGGAGGCCTTCCCAAGCCTTTTGCCGCTTGGATGAAGACAGCCCTAAACCCTGGAAAGCCTGAAACCTATGACTCCAAAGCCCGGAGCATGCCGACTTCAAACGCTTCGAACTACACAGAACCCTCAGTGTTCCCTTATTGCAGCGTTTATAGAACCCTTCTATACATCTCATCTAATTTTTCGGTCCCTTGGACCCTTCAGGCTACTACCAAGACTGAAGCCTCACGGGAAGTGGGGCATCCAAGATCCAAATGCGGCGCAGCCGGCAGGGAAAGGCGCCTCGCAGTTTGGGCTTAGGGCTTAGAGTCAAGAGTTTAGGCCTTAGAGTTAAGAGCTTAGGGCTCAGAGTTAAGAGCTTCGACTCAAGACTTTAGGGCTTAGAGTTAAGAGTTTAGGGCTTAGAGTCAAAAGTTTAAAGAGTTTAGGGCTTAGAGCTTAGGGTTTGAGTAGAATTGAGGGTGAGTCAGAACCCGATATCCTGGGTTCTTCTTTGTAGAACCGATACTTTAAGATGCCAGTGAGCACCTTGAGGTTTCCTTCTGATCCAATAAACTTAACAGTTAAACTTAACCTCCCTCACGAGAGCCCAGGAGTCGTGCTCTTCTCTCCCTCTCCCTCTCTCCCTCTCTCTCTGTATGTTGTTTGTGTGCTTGCGCGGCTTGCTTGTGCGTATCTGTGTGTTTGTGTATGTGTGTGTGTGTGTGTATTTGTCTGTGTATGCGTGCACGTGCGTGTACAGTAGCGTGTGTGCGTGTGGCTTCGGGGCTTTGTTATACGTGATATAGAGTCTATAGTTTTCCTGGTCGAAACAGGACAGATTTAGGGCTCCGGCTTTGAAGCCAGGCTCGTTCTGCAAAAGAGATATGATATGAAGAACTCTGTACAAAGGCCCGGACTGCTGGCATGAGCCCCACGCCTGAACGCCTAAACCCCACGTCCAGAACCCACGTCCAGAACCCAAACCCTAAACCCTACATAAAACCTGAAGCCTACGACCTCTAAACCCTCAACACTATAAAGCCTAGATCCTAAACTCCAACACCCTAAATCCCACACCCTACAACGGAAGGAGATGTGTGGTGCTTCTCAAGCTTGACCGGTCTTTTGCTGCTTAGCCCGAAGGTCGAAACTCGACAGTTCCCACAGTACCTACAGTCTCCGTTGTAGTTCCTTTTTTTGGTTTCTTTTCTTTATATTACAGGACCCTAACCATAAAATTGGATAACAGAAAAAAGGAACTCCAATGGAGACGATAGGTAGGGTTTGGGTTCAGGGCTTTGGGTTTAGGCTTCAGGGTTTAGGGGTTTAGGTAAAGGGAAGAAGTGATCCCGGTCCCAGAAAGTTGGCACATTGATGAGGCATGATTAGTGCTGAAATCTGCTATGCTTTACTTTATGGACAACAGGATAACCATAAAACCCTAAACCCTAACAACTTTCCGGCTTCTGTTTCCGGCTTAGATTTCAGGGCTTGGGATTCAAGGTTCAGGCTTCATTGTCTATGCTAAAGTGTAGGCATTGGATTTAGAGTTTGGGGTTTAGGCTTTAGGGTTTAGTTTAGTGTGTGGCATTTAGGAGTTTATGGTTTAGGCTTCAGGGTTTAAGAAACTTTGTTGAAGGGTTTAGGTGCCGTGACCCAAAAAACTGCAGCAGTTCAGCAAAGGAGCCCACCCAGCATCCGAGGCCACGTTTTATGTCCTCTCGCTCTGCAAGGATTTGTTGGGGTGTTGTAGATCTGATCTCTGCTTGGCACGTCCGAGCATTTGGGTGGCGCTTAAGCAGACAACAGGGGCCTTGATATTCAGAATGGTTTTTTGTGGTGTATCGTAGTAATTTTATAAACTGTAGTATAAGTGTATATGGTCTATTCGGGAATTCAATTATATACTTATATTCCGATCCCCATATTACCTCTACTCTAGCCGTTAACTTTACAAGGACTGTCCTTCAAAAACTGCATCGTTTATGACCCCAGAAACCCATAGCCTTGGCAAGGCAGGACACTTGAGACACCTGTAATGGTGGCTGACCGCTCTGAATCATGTGTGAAGAAGATGTGTGGGTGATGGCGGCGATGCTGCTGCTGCTGCTGATGATGATGACGATAATCCTAAACCCAAAACCCTAAACTGATGATTAACATCATAAAAGAAGATGACACTCACGATAGCGATGTTGATAATACCGTAGTGGTCGGGATGATGAGCCGTGGTGCGGGGCGATGATGGTCAGAAGCATAATGTAGGGGCATTAATGATTAGAATAGAGTTTTGGGGTCTAATAATTAAAATAACAAGGAGCCCCAAAGATAGTACAGGTACGTCTTATTGCCCCTACATTACTGGAGGCGGATTTCGAACTGTCTGCGGTTCCCGTCCTCCAAGCGCAAGACCGACCACAGCTTCGTAAACTGCACGCCACGAAAATCCTGACTGTCCTAACTTCTGAGTTTGCCCTCGGGTTTAGGGTATTGGGTTCGGTTTCAGTTTTTCGACGTAAGGCCAAAATTTTGCAGGTTCAGAAGCTTCTGAATCTATTCTCGAGCCGGTGCCCGTGGCTTACAGTCCTATGCAGAGACTTGAGTTGCGAAGGTCTGAAGCAGCACATGCCTAAACGTGCCAGGAGAATGAAAATAGTGACTCTTCGTAGCTTGTCCTGCTTAAAATACCAAAATACCTGGAGGCTTACGATAGGTTTACCCTAAACCCTCAACCCTAAAGGGCTTTGACCACACCTCGTCTTCCAAAGCTGCAGCCCTAAGCTCTGTCTGACGCTTCAGCTTCAACCGCTAGGAGGGCCGCAGATCTGCATCCGAAGCCTGCCCTTTAAGCCCTACCCCAAGGGTCCAAAGGACCCAATAATCAGGTACTTAGGGTTCGGGGTTTAGGGTTTAGGGTTTAGTAAGCCCCAAGGGTTCAAAGGACCCAACAATGAGGTACTTAGGTTTCGGATAGTAGTTATGTAGGTTACTATTTGGGAGAGTATATGATTATTAGGGACTTGGACCCTTAGAGCTAATTAATCTCTCAAAGCCCGAACACTATCTCTTTCCCAAGCCCGATCCATTGTAGTTCCATTTTTTGGTTTAACCAAGTATATACGAAGGATCTTATAAACCCTAAACCCTAAACCCTAAACCATAAGATCTTATAAGGCATCCCCAAAAGGAACTACAATGGAGACTATAGGGAAGCTCTAAGCTCTGAACTTCACATCCTGAGCCCTGGAGGATGCTTGGTTTAGGGTTTAGGGTTTAGGGTTTAGGGTTTAGGGTTTAGGAGTCAAGTTGCGATGATCAGCGCGACACCTCGCGTTTGCACCTCCAGGCTGTCGGTAGCGCGCTCGATGAGGAAGAGGCTGAGCTTCTGATACCTAGGCTGTCGTTCAATTTCGTGCTGAGGAGCAGCAAGAGTAGCTAACTAGTTTCGGGATGTCTATGGGTTTAGGGTTTAAGGCTATTTCTCTGAATCTCGCTAACTCGCAGCAGCCAGCTCCTTTGGGATTCAGCTAGGACTCGCTGTCTCCAAACAGCCTGTTGTAACACTGCGAGGCACTGTGCGATACCAGCACCGATAAACTTAAGGTTTAGGGTTTAGGGTGAACTATCAAAAGGACACATGAGAGCGAAATTTCAGCAACCGGTTTTTAAAGCCCTAAACCCACAAACCCTCGAACCCTCAGCCCCAAACTCCCAAACCATCGTGCACCCAAAACTTCCTTCCCCACACCTCTAAACCCTCTCAAAAAACCCGAACCCTAAACCTTAAACCCTAACTCCCAAACTTAAACCGAAGCTCTACAGCCACTAAGCCCATAAAGCCCTGAGCCCCAAAGCCACGAAAGCCAAGAAACTCCTCAATCGGACAGGCCTCCGGGTCCAATTTCGCCTTGGGGCAGAAAGGAGACCCAGTTTAGGGTTTCGGGTTTAGGGTTTAAGGGCTTAGGGTTTAGGGCCCAGAGAACCCAATACCCCTTAAAATAAGGAATAGACTTTAAATCATATTACTAAGGCCCGTAGAGTTTAAGGTATATATTCCTTAATAAAGGGGTATTGGGTTCTTTGGAGAGGCTTCGGTAGTGAAGGGTCTCTCGCTGGACTCTCGCTCACTCATACATACATACATGCATACATACAGACAGACAGACTGACTGACATACATGCAGATCTACCTACCTGCCTGCCTGCCTGCCTACCTGCCTACCTGCCTACCTAACTACCTTCCTACCTAACGACCTACCTATCTCGTTATCTCTCTATCTATCCATCCATCTATCTATGTCTATATCTCTCTATCTCTATGTCTGTATCTATATACGTTTCTATATGTGTATACATATGTACATCTATCTATCTATCTATCTATCTATTTATCTATCTATCTGTCTATCTATCTATCTATCTATCTATCTACCTATCTATCTATCTATCTATCTATCTAACTATCCATATATATATATATACACGCATTTGTTCATTTAGAAATGTAACAAATATCTACATAATTAGGTCTGTGTGTATATATCTGATATGTATATTCACATGAGACACAGACGTATAGCTCTTGATTTACATTTACAGCAAGCTGCTGTTGGCACGTTTCTGGTAGAGGGGTCGGCGAGCTCTCTTTCCTCTTGAAATTTCGGGCATTTGAGGCAACCCCAAATCCGACACACTAAACCCTAAGCCCTAAACCCGTAGGGGTGCACGTTCTTGTTTTGGTTTCGGCTCGGAACTTTCGGCTGGTGAGGCCCGCAGATTCGGGTTTGGGCTTGGATTAGAGTGTTCGGGGTTTCAGGTTCAGGGTTCAGCATCTCTTAAGGTGCCCACTGCAGCTGACCCCCCCCCCCCCTTTACAATAGAGGTTGGGGTCCATTATGGTGCAATTATACAAGGACTACACTATAAGGGGATACTGGATACTTTTAAAAAGTACTCCGACCCTGCTATGGCTCCAAGTTCCTGCACACCAAACGTCAAAGAATGGCCTGTGCTTGCACCCCGAACTCATCGAACCCCAAAACTAAATAACTCCTGCACATAGTAGCCTCAACACTTCGCGCTAGTCATGCCTGGGGCTGCTTAGTAGAATGATACTCTAATAATAAAGCCTAGCCTAATAATACACGAAGCCGCAATGCGTACCCGATATCTCAATGCCTATGCGTGCGCCCTAAGCCTAAAGCTTGCACATGAGGCGCCATGTTGAAGACCAAGCATGCAGCTGCGAACTCATTGGGGTCTTTGGAATCCTCCGGGGATCACCAAGGCGGCGACAGGTGGTGTGCCGAGGATATGGGGGTTTAGGGCTCAGGGTAGAGGTTTAGGGTTTGGTTTAGCGTTTAGGATTTGGGATGTGAGGTCAAGACATGTACAGTCAGGTTTGCAGTCGAGGGTTTACAGAAGAAGCCGGAAACTTGGAACATCGTTATCCTGGTACCCTTAAGGCAAAACATAAGGGATCCTAGCACTAGTTCTCCTAAATCCATGTTCCAACTTTCTGGGGTTCGCTGTAGGGCTTAGGCTTAGGTTCCACGGCTTGGGGAGGAAGAGGCTTTTCAGATTCACCTGAAACCTGAGCCGTAACCGCCCTATCCTGCAAGCATGCGGTTGTCCATGTCTGTGGCTTTAGGATGGGGGCTGGCAGTATCAGGGTTTAAGGTTTACGGGGCTTGAGTCATACATGGTGTAGCTCCCTTCAGGCTTCTCGGACCTCGGAATGCCCAAACCCTTTTTAGGGGTTAGGGTTTAGGGTTTAGGGGTTTAGAGGTTTAGGGTCTAGGGTTTAGGGGTTTAGGGTCTAGGGTTTAGGGCTTCATGATACATCCTCAAGCTCCAAAGGCTGCGAATGACAAGGAGCCGTCATAGTAGGATGCTTAACGCAAGAACCTGTTGCTCAGGGCCACAAACCCGGAAGCGCGATCGTATGATCCTGAATACAAGAACCCCTGCAGAAGCCCAACATATCGACCCACAAACGAGGATCATGAACATAAGAACCATGAACAACTAAACACAGAAGCTCGAGGCGTGAGGAAATCCGGGAGCAATGGGACCCTGCCTTCCTGTTATCAGAACCCTTGATGGAGCTTTAGGGGTTTAGGGGTTTGGAGGTTTGGGGTTTAGGGTTTAGGGTTTAAACCCTTCTTGAAGCCCTGCGCCCTAAAACCCAAACCTTGAACAACCATTCCCAAACTTCAGTCTTTGAAACCACCAAAGGCCCGACCCGGACCGTGAACCCTAAACGGCCCTAGCCCTGCAACTATAAACCCCAAACGCCCTAAACTCGAGAAGCCCTAGACCCTAAACCTCCGAAAGCCCGAACCCTACAGCTGCCTACAGCCGTAGAACCACCCAAGAAAAACCGTAAGATCTTATGATGTAAGGTCCTTAATCAAGGGGTATTGGGCTCTCTCTGGATAGAGGCTAAACCCTGAACCCTAAACCCGAAACCTTAACCCTAAAACACCCAAACCCTAAACCCTAACCATAAACCCTAAACCCTAAACCCTAACCCTAAACCCTTAAGGGTCCAAAGGACCCAATAATCAGGTACTTAGGTTATGGACAGTAGTTGTAGGTTAGTGTCCAGAACAGTATATGATTATTGGGCACTTGGACCCTTACGGAAACCTTAACCTGATTCCCAAAGGCTCCATGTACCTTTATAGCAGATACTTAGGCCTTATTGGGGTCCCTATATAGGTACTTTCAGGCCTAAGTATCTACTATAAAGGTACATGGATCCTTAGGGATTGTACCCCGGCCTTCTTCCCCGGCAAAAGCCAGTGAAGGCCCGTTTTCAGGGCGCGGCTCACCTCGCTGGCGGGGATGCTCATCGCCCACCTTCAAGGAGGTTTAGGGTTTGGGGTTTAAGGCTTCGGGTTGAGGGTTTAGGGTTTGGGGTTTGGGGTTTAGGGCTTGGGGTTTAGGGTTTAGGGTTGTGGTTTAGGGTTTAGGGTTGCGAGATGGGGGTTTAGGGTTTAGGGTTGAGGGTTTGGGAGTTTGGGGTCTAGGATTTAGGGGTGAGGGGGGTTTCGGGTTTAGGATTGAGAGTCTGGGAGTTAGGGGTTTAGGGTTGAGGGTTTGGGGTTTAGGGTTGAGAGTCTGGGAGTTGGGGGTTTAGGGTTGAGGGTTTGGCATTTAAGGTTGAGCGTCTGGGGCCCCAAAAAGGAACTGCAATGGACTCTGTAGGAAGGCTGAAGAGTCGCCTTCAGGGCCTTCTTTCTATGAGGCCTCTAAAAGTTTAAGGGGTCACTGTTCCAGGGGCTGTGCTGTTTAGGGCTTTCTACGACGGGTTTTCAAGCCTTAAGAAGTTGCTTTAAGCGGGTTTGGAGGTGGTGAGGTTGCGGGTTGATTGAGAGCATTGCGAACCGTATGGGGTTGAGGGTGGTTGTCAGAGGTAGAGGTACCCCGAACCCTATGACTGAAGCTATGAAGCCTGAAGCCCTGAACATGAGGGGATGTATGATTGATTGCTGTACCTTAACCCTTAACCCTTAACCCTTAACCCTAAACCCTAAACCCTAAACCCTAAACCCTAAACCCTAAACCCTAGGCCCTTGGGATGAAATAGTATGCGGCCGGTTTCGAGCACACCTGCGGCTGCTTGGGAAAGAGTTTGGCTTAGCAGGACAGGGTCGTCAAAGCCGTGCAAAGCTGAGGTCTACGCTGCTTCAGGGTTTGAGGGTTCAGGGCGTTAGGGTGTCATGGGGATTAAAGGGTGATGCTGGCAATCATGGGCTTCAGGGTTTAGGGCTTCAAACGGTCCGAAGCCTGGATTGAGGCAGAGAAACCGAATTCTCCAACATCTCCGGGGCCAACGGACATGTCTTCCAAACCGAAGAGGAAGGCTACATTTTGGGCGAGTGAGATGAGCCGTGAGACAGTGAGACCTTCTGAACTCACCATGGATCGACCCGCAACATGTTTCAAGCACCTCTGCCCAAACATCGTTATCTTTTCAGAGTGTGGGCCATCAATTCCTTGAAGGCTCACCCTCCTCAAGGCTCAGGAGCCAAAGCCGTCACCCAACCCTCATACCCTCTTTCCAGGCAGTGAACGAGCCATTGGCGTCAGGTGAGACACAATCGCAGTAGCGGCCTTTTTTAAAATGTTAAAACCAAGGACCCACATGCTGCTGCTGTGCACGATTTAATTCATTTCCTGCTCAGGAGGCATCTGTAAAAAGATCAGAACCAAGGTTGATAGAGAATACATAGGTCTCCTTCAAAGCCTTGTGCGTCTTCAGCTGGATACCTCAACTTTGCCAGCACCAGAGACATCTTTGTACCATACGCGGTACTCAACCACCGGGGCACACTAAGTTGTTGTCGTTCTCTGTTTCCGTCTCTGAACAAAAGGACACCCAACACTTAGAAGGCATGTGTCACTGGTTGCTTCGGTTTCTTGTTCGGGAAGGGAACAAAGAACAAAACTAAACCCTAAACCCTAAACCGTAAACCCTAAACCCTAAAACCCTAGACCCAAAACCTGCCTGAAGCCCGGCAAGTTTACGAATGATGTCGAAGCCTTGCTCGTCATGTCCACGTTCCCGGTACACCACGCCTCTTGCGAGCCACCCGGAGCGCAACAAAACGAGACCTAGGATGTCCAGAAACCTAGGACTAAAAAGGGCCCCCTTGGTTCGTATTGGCTACCTTTATCAGGAAACTAAGACTTCAAAAAGGGCCCACTGGGAGACCTAGAGACCGTCGTCGGGATTGACCACGGCATCGCCCACCACCATCTCGAACGGCATATCGCTGTCCCATCTCCAACTTCCTCCCTGCTCACTGCCTGAGTCCACATCCCGATGTCCACACCCCCAACCACATCCGTAAACATGCATGCAAATACACATCTACCGTTGTCGATGGTCATATATGAGTATCTCTTCGGTCCACACCTCCTTCAGTCGCTCACAACCCCAACAACCAACACAAGTTAAGAGGTTTTCCCTGCGCAAAGCCACACCCTATGCTTCCAAGGACCTTATAGTTAGCACTCTGGACCCCTTAAAGACCCAAGAATCACGCCCCTGGAAGCCCAGGGACAGAGCTTGTTCCGAATCTTCGCCGCGCCAAGCGCCGTCGCGCGTGCAAAAACTCGGAGGTCCTCCTCGACGGCGGGACACAGCTGGAGCAGCTGGTGGAGGAGCTCGGAACGGTGGCCTGTAGCAAGCCCAAAGCAGAAACAAGGGACGGCGTCATATTCTGTCATGTGATGCGGGAAAAGACTAACATGACAACAGAGAGCAAACGGCGGCTCGAAAGAGGTGAGGCACAGAAAAAACGCGATAGTAACAACAACAGGGACAACAGACAAGCGATAACGACGTCAGAGCAAATTGAACTTTATGTCGCAAGCTCGCCTATCTGTCTTGGCCATTTTTTTGTACTGGCATCTAGTTTCATCCCATGTCCAACGGCAAAACCGGCGTGACAGTACCCGACATCTTCTCGACGAAGCCCACCTTCAATGGCAGAGTTCTTTGGCAGGGCCTCTTCCAAGCTCCGGGTGAAGCTCACATGCAGGCTGACGTCCTAGCAGCGTGATGACAGTTGCGTTCTTTGGACCCGCAAAAAACCATCAACCGGGTCCAAAAATACATGACAACGTCGTGGAATGCTGTTGCGTTTTCTCCGCGCTTCTGTTGCTTTTGCCCTGGGCTTTGGAGGCACTTCGAAGCTACAGCCTCTTTCTTCGCAGATCTCACGCGCGTTTCGAGGAATTTCGGCAGACCTCGTCCTACCCTAAACCCTAAACCCTATATACACCCCCTAAACCCTAAACCCTAAACCCTAAACCCTAAAACCCTACACCCCAAACCCTAAACCCCAAACCCTAAACCCTAAACCCCTACACCCCAAACCCTAAACCCTATCGTCCTTGGCAGCTTCCCAGCCTTCAACCTTGCGGCCAAAGACCTCGATGATTTTCTCATCGGGGCCCTGTCCTCTCGGAGACTTCAATGCTGGACCCAAAGAACCCAATACCCCTCAATTAAGGAATATGCCTGAACTTATAGGGGTCTTAGCTAATGACCCAATACCCCTCAATTGAGGAATCTGCCTTAACTTATAGGGGTCTTAACCAAAATTACGATTCAAGGTTACCTTCCCTAAACCCTAAACCCTAAACCATAAACCCTAAACCCTACGGTATATTCCTTATCTAAGGGGTACTGGGGTCCTCTGGGTCTCCCCAGCTTCGCCAGCTTCGTTTGGAGAGAGCGGAGCTGCTCCTTAGTTGCTGAGTTCATAAGCCACAAAAACAGGGTTGAGGGTTGAGGGTTTAGGGGGTTTAGGGTTTAGGGTTTAGGGTTTAGGGGGTTTGGGGTTTAGGGTTTAGGGTTTAGGGTTTATTGTTTAGGGTAGTTGCTGAGTTCATAACGCAGAGAGCCCAATACCCCTTTATTAAGGAATATGCCTTAAATCGTAATATTCAGGCCCCTGAAATTCAAGGTATATTCCATATTCCTTAACTAAGAAGTATTGGGATCTCTGGGTTCATAATCCACAAAAATAGGGTTGAGGTTTTAGGGTTTAGGGTTACTTTCAGTCTTATGGCGGGTAATCTTATCTCAAAAAGTGTAAAGTGTATCCACTCAACCACTTAGGCTCCGAGGATGAACTGGGCCAATTTGCAGACGCGGCTGGGTTCTCACGAAGCCAGCGGGGTGTGGAAGATGAAGTGCAGCAAGCTCCCATAGCACGAGGGGTCAATGATCTTGAAACAATCGGTCGGTTATGTCATATCATATCAACCATGCATAAATATATCAACCTTTAGTTCGGAACTTTATAGCATGATATACCATATGTTCTAAATATTAAGTGACTACTGAAAACATGCGATATAAAACATATATCATATTACATAAACTTGTAATGTACTGCATAGAACAAAACGCACCTTCTACGTTATAATGATCATGTCGGTTGTGCATGCTCAAGGCGACTATGTTTTTTGCTTCTTATCCGTCAGTCATAGCGAATGAGGAAGCAACGCTGCCGGGTGTCAATCGTGAGTGCACTCTGCTACTATCCGTAGAAGATGGCTCCTTCAGCACTGGAAGTAAGATTGCTATGATCGATTCCTCTCCGAGACGAGTTAAAGATCTCATCAGTATCTTACCTTTTAAGGTGGAGCTTGTCATCGTCTTTACCACGCCTGCCGGATACCCGATTCACTTTATTTGTTCCGATGGTCTTGTCAAGTATAGTCTTAGCCTGAGCATGCACGTCGAAACTAGACCATTCCAGGAAGCACAAGATCAGCATCACCGGCTACCGCCTGAGAAGCGACCTGGAACATCTATACAACGCAAGACAGAAGCAGCTCCCCCTAACCCCTAAACCCTAAACTCCCATCTGTCCAGATTGAAAACCCTAAACCCTAAACCCTAAACCCTAAACCCCTAAACCCTAAAACCACCAACTTGAGCCTTCAATGCTGAACCTCAGGATTCCGATCGTATATAACCCTCCAAGACATAAGAACCTGCAACCCTCCGAAGGCTTACGGCAAACACCCAAAATGACATAGAACAGAGGGCCTGTCTTTAAATTTCAATCCATGAACCTGAACGATCAAGTAGCACCCCAGAGAACCCAATACCCCTTAATTAAGGAAAAGGAATATAGCTTAGACCATAATATTGAGGCTCCTATAGTTTAAGGTATATTCATTAATTAAGGAGTATTGGGATCTCTGGGTGGTTGCCATACACTTCACGGATGGCCTTGCTTGAGATCGAAAATTGAAGAATCCAGCTGCAGTAGATGCGGCCTTTTCGATATGACCTTCTTGAAAAGCCTCGGGAGGTTAGGACAAGAGGGGGCTCAGGCTCCGGGCTCAGTGGCTTACAGCGCTAAGGTCTCCAATTTTATTACCTAAACTATTTTGGGGGCTCCTTATAAGAGTTACTATATTGGGGGCTCCTTATTGAAATTATGGAATAGTATTATAGACAGTATACCCCGAATTCCTAAGTACGGCCCCTATTACCCTATATGATGGGGCTTCGGGTTCAAGAATTCGGGCTCAGGGTTCAGGCCGTGGGTCATGGTTCCTGGATTCTCAGACTTACAGAATGTAGGGGCCTTTATGGTTCGAATAGGGTTTTGGGGGTATATTATACTATAATGTAAGGAGCCCGCCCCCCCAAAAAAAAAATAATATAGCTAATTATTCAGGCCCCTATACTAATCTGGCTGTAAGGGCTTGAGGCGTTAAGGCTTAGAGCTTGGGGCTGAAAGAATAGAACTTGAACCGTTGCTCAGACCTGATGGCTCACATCTTGAAGATCTGTTGGGATGAACCCTAAACCCAAACCCTAAACCGCACGTGGTCTGGAGTCATGAGAGGTTCAAAGCACACGTGTAGCACAGGTATCCCAGAAGAAGCTCCAATCGTTCTCTTCGTCTCAGAAAAATTTAGGGTTTACCAGAGCTTCTCCATATGCAAACTTGCCCGCAGTTATGGACATGTGGAGATTCGGGGCAACCATTCTGATGTGCGCAAGGCTGCACACATCTACTAGAGCCCCTTGAAAGCGGGCTTCGAGACTCCAGTAACAGCCAGAACCCCGTCGTAGAGGCCTCAACAGTTTGAGGCAGGTTTGATGCTATCCGTAGTTTCGTAAAACACCAGGACGTATGACCAAAATGCTCAAGCACCTTTATCGGTTCAACAAATCGACAGGAAGTTAAGCCCGAAATACTCCTGGCTCCAGTATCAGAACCCCCTACACCCTAAAACCCTAAACCCCCACTAAACCCCTAAACCACTAAACCCTAAACCATTTAAACCCGTAAACCCTAGACCCGTTAAACCCCTAAGCCCTACTCTGCTCGCTGCCAAAAGGCCAGGCATTTTCTCAGGATGGCCTTGGTACGCCACGGGCTTTCGACTCGCTCTTAGGGCTTGCGGTTTAGGGTTTAGGGTTTATGGGGCTTAGGGTTTAGGGCTTGGGGTGCTGCGGGATCCGGGTGTCAGGGCTTTTGGGGATTTAAGCCTTCAGGAATTAGGGCTTGACGGCTTTGGGTTTTTTTGGAGCGCACGGTTTAGGGCTTCGATTCAGGATTTAGAGGATTTCAACTGTTGGGGCAAACATGGCCGCAGGGCCTTGGGTTCAGCGATGGATCTTTGAGGCTGGGTTTAGGGTTTAGGGTTCTGCCAGAGTAATTGGTAATCGTATGCCATGCAGGTGCCTTCACCGCACAAATATAGCGTGACATACCCCAAACAAAAGCTTGTCGTAGTCATCTTACCTCATCGATCAAAACACAGGGGGCTCAGGGCGCAAAGTCCGAGACTCCTTCCTGAAGTGCAGGAACTACCTAAAACCCATAGCCCCGAATGCCGAAGCTGCCGTAAACCCTGAGCCCTGAACCCTCAAGAAAGACGTGCATTGAAATTGCTTGTTGCTGTTGGCCAATCAAATCATTCAGTTCAGCCCGCCTCAGCGCAGCCAGCGCAACGCAGGTTAGGGAAGGGTGCAAACAAAAGGGGGCAGTGTGGGGCGGGACGGGCGCAAAGTGGGGCAGGTTTCAAATTGGCAAAATTGAGTGATGGTGCATCCGGAAACCTCGGGACACGACCCCTTTCACTTGTGGAGGAGGGACTGGGACGAAAGCTAGGGCAGAGCAGCAGTGGACAAGCCGAGGCAGGCAAGCGGACTTTGTAAAGAAAAACATGTCGCCGGCCGGAGTTTTGTTGTTGATCTTCGTTGGCTGGGCGGAAGAGCCTGAGCGCAGGAGCCAAAGAAGGAACTGAAAGACGATCATGCTTGTTGCAATGCAGGAGATTCGAACAGTCACAGCACCGAACATCATATGAGCCAAGCAAGCCGCTCAAGAAGAATCATGCGCATCATTGACGCCCGGCCGGGCCGGCGCGGCGAGCATCATAAGCATCAGTGGCCCCCTGCCGGGCCAGGAGACGAGCATCATGAGCATCATTGGCGGCTCGCTTCTCCATTCCAGGGCAAGCCGAAACACTCCCTTCTCATGTCCGAAAAGGAGCGGGTCTCCTCAGGCGGCAAAATGCAGCTGCAGGTGCAGTCGAGCTCGGGAAACCGGCCGGCACCGTTTGGCCAGATTTTGGAGGGCGCTTTCCCCACACCCCTTGTTGCAACCTTCGGTTGATAAGAAACTCCGCCAGCCCAAGCCCGCCAGCCACGAGCCCAGCCTCCGCCCCACCCAGCCCCAGATTCAAAAATGCCCCAGCCGCCCTCCAAACCCCCCCTTGCGCAGCACCCAGACGCAGAACTGCAGGCCCGTTACCCCAGCCCCAGATTCAAAACGTTTCGGTCAAAACTAACGACCTTTAGCACTGTCTACAAACCCTAATTATGTGCAACTTTGTCGGTCCAGGCGTTGTGGCTTGAAGAGGTTACCTCTAGGGGTCCGGGTTTAGGGGTTTAGGGGTTTCGGGGTTTTGGGTTTAGGGGTTTAGGGCGGTTGAAGAGTTTAGGGGTTTAGGGGTCTAAGGTTACATAGTATGTACTGTGCCAGCTTCAACCGATACTTCAAGCTTTAAGCCCCCCCCAAAATCTAAACCCTGAACCCTAGCAACCGAACCAAAGCCTGAACTAACACTGATGGTCACAACTAAGCTGGCGGCATCTGGAATATCCTTGCACTCCGGCGCGTCCTGCTTCAAAACAGAACGGATGATTCGGGCCGTGGGATTAGCAGGGACCTTTCAGCCGATGCATGTGAAGCCAGGGTTCTGCAAGCGAAACCTCTCAACCCTAAACCCTTATAAAACCCTAAACCCTAAACCCTGATCCCCGTAGTTCCTAAACCCCTACACCCCGAAGTCCTCTACCCCGATCCCCTAAGCTCTGAAACCCTACACCCTAAACGCCCAAACCTTGAACCCCTAAGCCCCAAGCCTAAACCCGATGCTCCCAAAAGTTGAACCCCAATAAGCCCCAAGCCTAAACCCTAAACTCCCGAAAACTGAACCCCTAAAACCCCTACTGTAAACTAGACCCTAAACCCTAAAAGCCCTAATCCTAAACTCCCAAAAAATGGACCCCCTAAAACCCCTAAACTACACCCTAAACCCTAAAACCCGAAACCCTAAACTCCCAAAAAATGAGCCCACAAAAAAACCCACAACTGCCAGTCCTGTCGGAGAACTTCTCGGAGCTTCTCCAGTGCCACATCGTCGTCTGGATGCCCTGACCAGGGCGAGCCGGCCCTTTTAAGGATCCTATAAAAAGGGTGTTTA